TGGGGAAGAAGGAAGGAGGGACAACGAAGTTGAAGACGGACAAAGCCGAGGGTGAAAAAAAAAAAAAAAGAGAAAGAGGAAGGAAGAAGAAAGGGGCGAGGTAGAAGAAAGGTGAAGAAGGTGAAGAGAAGGGGAGTTGGCGAGGAAGAAAGTGCCGGCAGCCATAGCCGACTTGGGAGTTAACCAGGTGTTGACCAAAGAGTTGATCGGTGTTTGACCATGTTGACCAAGCGTTGACCAAGGCGTTGACCGGAGCTGTTGACCACGATTTTGATCAAGCTGGAGTTGGTATAATCTCGCCAAGCCCTTAGCCTATTCCGTCGCCCTATGGATGTGCACTTACCCTATGGTACTTGCCGAGTCTGAGTCTGTCTGTCTCTGTGTTCTGCATTGAGTCTCTTCTGTGAGGTGATAGGAGTCCGTGTATGAAGGATAGGGCCACGTTGACCAAACCCACACTGGCTGAGTAGGGCTAAAGGCTGTGTCTTACGACTTGACTGTCCCGGAGGACACGAACCCTCTTTAGGACCGGTACTGCTCACTGGCGGGCTGCTCGGTGTGGCACGGTAGGCCCAAAATCCGAGCTGTGGGCTGCACGACGGGCTCCCCACTCTATCTAATCGTAGGGGACTTCATCCATACCACCCTCGTCTAGTGTAAGGATCAGGCGATCCTTTGTCTTGACCTGACCCGAGATGGTACGACCTTTCCACTTTTTGCCCTTATCCAGGTCCTTGTGCCAGAAAGTGGAGACTGACATGGACCTCGCTTCGAATGCTACCACTTCCCTTCTCAAAGCATCATAGGTCAAGGCAGGTTGCTGACTTTTTTCAAACAAATGCCCGCGTAGTTGTTCGGGCATAGCACGATAGAAGAGGTTGACCATTTGGGTCTCAGTGACCCCATGGTCAGGAACGGCGACCAACTTGTCCATCACACCTTTGAATGCCCTGGCACTCCTCCACTGGCGAGAATGGATGGTTTGCAGTTTATCTGGAGCTTTTATACTACGGGTAACGTCTGCAAACCGTTCTCTCAATAACTTAAGGAAATCATTGAGAGGGGTAAATGTTGAATATGCAACTTAAATGTCGAATATGCAACTAAGTCATCGTTGCAATTAGCGGCGTGACACAGGGAACGGGTGAAGCTTGCTGCTTCCTCCCGAAGAGCATGGATAGTTATCAGCACGTGTTCATCTGGGGCGACTTTCTGTAAGTCCACATACGTCTTAGTATTCGCTTCCCAGTTGTCAAAGTTCTCCTCCTCCTTTCCACTATAGGAGTCAGGACATTTCACTTTGACAGGCTCCCTACGAGGACGTGCTTCTTCTTCCTTGGGTGCAGCCAGCCTGGCGCCTTCTATGGCGCCCACGCAATAACGCTTTGTGTTCTCTAGGCGGGCCTTCACCTCTGAGCCCACCTGCATCACTAACTCCGTGCGAAGCCCCTGAATCCCAGCCGTACAGATCGCAGGGCTAAGTCATGACTTGTACCAAACTGATATTGCTCTTCTTGGACCTGGGCCAGGCACTCTATGTTCCTCGCCACGACCTGCATCTTCCCCAACAGGTCCGCCTGCGCCGCCATCTGCTCTCCCTGTTTCTTTACTTCTTCCAATTCCCTTGCCGCCTGGCTCACTGCGTCCACTCTTCTTTTTAGTTCCCTCATCGGCCGCAGCTTCCACTCCATCCTCTTTTCATCTTCTATTGCCTGCCGCTTGAGTGGATCTTCCTCTACATTCCAGTCTTTCATGGCCGCCTCCTGCTCTTCCATGGTTACATACATCAATGCCTCCTCCTCTTCTCCCAGTGAAAGATTGGCCACCCATTCCATAATCTTCTTCTCCAACGGATCTTCCTTCGCACCATTGGGTCCTGCTCTTTCTCTTGTCATTCTCCTCTCCAGTGGCTGTTCTTCCACCTCTTCTTCCTCTACCGCTCGGAGTTTTTCTACCTCCTCCTTTTGCAACCTCTCCATTTCTCTCACCATCTCTTCCTCGATCTTCTTCTTTTTTGCTTTGCACCATTGGGTCTTGCTCTTTCTCTTGTCATTCTCCTCTCCAGTGGTTGTTCTTCTACCTCTTCTTCCTCTACCGCTCAGAGTTTTTCTACCTCCTCCTTTTGCAACCTCTCCATTTCTCTCACCATCTCTTCCTCAATCTTCTTCTTCTTCGCCACCTGTTCTTCCAGCAAGGCCTTCTTCTTGGCCTCCTTCTCTCTTTTCTCTTTCAGGATGGCGGCGGCTTTCGCCTCCTCTTCTGTTGTGTACGGGGAGGTACTCGTTCCTATATGCGTGTCAACCATGGTGATAGACGCACAACCAAGTGACGGTTCCACTCCTTTCCACTTAGACTCTCCCCCTAATTGACTCAACTTAAGACCAACTCAATCTAAGGACCACAGGATTCGCTGCTGTCGCGGCCAGAGGGAGGCCGCAAGGAGGAGGTAGAGGCCAGGGCCAAGGGGGCCGGGCCTCCGGTGCCACAGGGCCGACCTTGGGAAGATTTGGGCCTGGACCAGCGTGTCTGGCAACAACGTGTGGACCAGGGGCAGTGCATATATTACGGTGACCCTGGCCACATCATCACATATTGTCCAAAGTATAGAGAGGCCCGATGGGCTGCCCAGGGGTCAAAAGTCAGTCGTCTGTAGGGGGTGCAACTGCCCCTACCATGAGGCCATGTGGGGAAACGAGCGCGAGCCGACAGGAAACTCCTACACCACATGCGCCTATGGCAGAGGTTGTAGGCCGGTGCCTAGATAGCTGTCAAGAGGCTGCATGTGTCAGAGTCTCTTTAGGCACCTCCCTCACAGGCGTGGCTGGCGCGAGCTAAAGGAAAGATGCCCGCCTGGGCGAGGATGAAGAAAGAGAGTAGAGGACAACTAGTACTAGTAGACGTAGAAGTCTTTCGGAACAGAGTAGGGGCCCTCGTAGACAGTGGGACCACTCACAACTATATTAGTAGAAAGGCGTTGCAAAAGTTAAAGTTGGGGTTGAAAGTCCAAAAGTTAGCAGACCCCATAGTAAGTATCCTCGTTGATAATCGCACAATGCGAGTAGAGGATTATGTAAAGGGAGTCCAGGCGTACTTCTGCCTAGAGAAAGATGGGAAGGTGGAGAGAGTTTTCCATTCTTGACTCTCCTTGTAGAGGATAACCTTCCCTTCGATATAGTCATAGGAATGGACTGGGAGAGGCAGCAGGGGCCACACTCCATTTGAGAGAGCATGTGTAGGCTCCCTAGCCCGTCAGGCGGGGTCAAGACTGCCCATTTGTTTCATGTGTCAGGGGTAGATAACTCTCTGGCACACTGCTGTCTTAGCGCTCCTGCGTTTGCAAGGCTAGTGAAGAAGGAGCAGCTAGAAGAACATGTTTTTGTAGCCTACGTTAGACCAGTTACTGAGCCTAAAGAGGAAAAACCCATAGATCCCGCTATTTCCAAGCTGCTGGAAGAGTACACAGATTTAGCTAAGCCGCCAACAGGGGTAGTCCCGCGGCCCATCCAACATCGATTAAGATAGAGCCTGGCAGTAGGACTCCTAAAGGAGCAGTGTATCGGATGTCCCCACGGGAGTTGGAGGAGTTGCGCAAGAAGTTAGATGAACTCTTAGAGAAGGGTTGGATTAGGCCCAGTTCGTCTCCATTTGGAACACCTGTTCTATTTGTCCCCAAGAAGGAGGGAGAGCTTAGAATGTGCATTGACTATAGGGGTCTTAATGCTATTACAGTGAAGAATGCGGAGCCACTGCCCCGTATTGATGATCTTTTAGATCGTGTGCAGGGTTCCGAGTACTTCTCGAAGATAGATTTGAAGTTCGGATATCATCAGATAGAGGTTCACCCTGATGATCAGTATAAGACTGCATTCCGAACTAGGTATGGGCACTACGAGTTCATAGTTATGCCCTTTGGACTAACCAACGCGCCAACAACTTTTCAACGTTGTATGAATGACTTACTTAGGCCGTGGTTAGATAGGTTTGTAGTAGTCTACTTAGATGATATTCTAGTGTTCAGTAGGACCCTTCAAGAGCATGAGGGTCATTTGAGGCAGGTCTTGGAGAAGCTGAGAGAGGCTAACTTCAAGATCAACGCAAAGAAGTGCGAATGGGCAAAGACCCAAGTTTTGTATCTAGGCCATGTCCTAGACGGAGACGACATTAAACCAGAAGATAGCAAGATCGCAGCGATTAGAGATTGGCCTACACCCCGCAGGTTGGCAAAGTTGCGGTCGTTCTTAGGCCTAGCTAACTATTACAGGAAGTTTGTGAGAAACTTCTCCACCATCGTTGCACCTCTTCGCAGGTTACTGAAGAAAGAAACAATCTGGAAGCAGGAGAAGGACTACACGTCTGCCATGAAGAAATTGAACCAGGCATTGATATAGTACCCGGTCCTTAAGGTAGCCGATCCGTCCTTACCTTTCGTCGTCACTACTGACGCGAGCCAGTATGGTATAGGTGCTGTATTACAGCAAGACGATGGCAATGGATATAGGCCCGTAGAGTTCATGTCTGCTAGGATGCCTTTGGAGAAGGTAGCGAAATCCACCTACGAAAGGGAACTCTACGCTCTCAGGCAAGCGTTAGAACATTGGAAGCACTACTTGCTTGGGAGACACTTCAAAGTCTATTCAGACCACGAGACGTTAAGATGGCTGAAGACTCAGGCCAAGATGACACCTAAGCTTACTAGGTGGGCCGCAAAATTAGACCAGTGTGATTTTGAGCTCAAGCCAGTAAAAGGGAAGTACAATGTAGTTGTGGACGAGACGTTAAGATGGCTGAAGACTCAGGCCAAGATGACACCTAAGCTTACTAGGTGGGCCGCGGAGTTAGACCAGTGTGATTTTGAGCTCAAGCCAGTAAAAGGGAAGTACAATGTAGTTGCGGACGCTTTGAGTACGAGAGCTGACTACTTTGGAGCGGTAGTTCATTATCTGGATATACGGAGAGACCTGCAACAAAAAGTTAGAGAAGCATATGCGCAGGACCCTATCTATAGTGACCTCCTCAAGAGAGTAAAGGAGGCACCAGAGTCCGAACCAGACTACCACACTACTGATGGGCTGCTATTTGAGAAGACTAATGTAGTTGACCGATTGTGTGTTCCTAACAGTGAGGAGATTCGTAGTCTGATTCTAGGGGAATGGCATGACACCGAGGGACATTTTGGTTGGCAAAAGACTCTAGCCAACCTCATGCGCGCGTACATATGGCCTGGGATGAAGGCCGACTGCATAGAGTATGTTCGCAGTTGTCTGCCAGAGAAACAAGACCTCGACACGTGCCCCTCCAGGTCTTCTTAGGCCCTTGCCTATTCCTGACCAGCCGGGGGACTCAGTGTCCATTGACTTTATGGACACCCATGTCAAGAGTAGGCACGGCAAGAGCCAAGCCATGGTTATAGTTGATAGATTTAGCAAGCATGCAGTTTTTGTTCCTTTGCCTGCGGAGGCAGGCACGGAATTAGTAATCCAGAAATTCTTTGATCATTGGGTCAGTGAGCACGGGATTCCGCTGTCTATAGTTAGTGATAGAGACACCCGGTTCACTAGTCAGAACTGGCAGGAGTTGATGAGAGTCTAAGGCTCCAAGTTGTTGATGTCGTCTGGCCGTCGTCCAGAGACGGTCAGACTGAACAAATGAATAAGATCCTGCAGCAAGTTCTGAGAATGTATATTAGGCCTGATCAAGTAAACTGGGATGAGATGCTCCCAAAGGTGGCCAGTTCATATAACAACAGCGCGCATTTAGCCATTTGTCGCACTCCCAATGAGTTGCATAAGTCTTTCAGACCACGTAGACCATTTGAAGGACTTAACTGGGACCAGATCCAGAGGCTACCACCCGGTACTAGGGATTTTGCGTTACAGGACGAGAAAGAGTTAGCTACCGTTGTCGAGAACCTCAGGAAGGCCCAGCATAGGAGGATAGAGCAAGCCAACAAGCACCGTCGGCCGTCGCAGTTTCAAGTAGGCGACTTAGTCTGGGTCAAGTCTAAAGAATTTGCTCCTGAGGAGAACATCTCACATAAGCTACTGCCAGCGTACAGAGGACCGTGGCCAGTCCTAGAAGTCAAGGGCAGAGAGGATGGACCGTCCTACACGATAGAGACTCCAGCACACCTCCACACCTACCCAGTTTTCCATGCGTCGAAGTTGTTGCCCTGCAATACGAGTGATCAGTTCCCATCACGAAGTTCCATGATCCCTCCGGATATGGATGGCAGGTACGACATTGATCGCATAGTAGGGGAAGATGTCTTTAGAACTGGAGGCAGGGGTAGTTCATAGAGACAGTACAAAGTTCAATTCTCTTTTCAGGAACCAGAAGACGACCGCTGGTACACACAAACAGAACTTCTAGAGACCGCTCCCGATATAGTTCGCGCCTATGAGAGAGACAAAAAAGGTAAACGTCCTGCCTTGGGCTGAAATATTCTCGGAGGACCTCGAATTTAGGCCGGCGGGAGTGAAACGGTTTTCACCCTTTCGCAGTAGCGGATGTAAATCCCAGGGCTCGATCCCTAGACCTCACTACCTGTGTACAGTACCCCTGTGTGTGTTTGAACCCGTAACCTGTGTTTTAGGAGCCAGTCGTAGTCTGTCGTAGACCTGGGTGTCCGTCGGGTCTTGAACCGTTGATCTGTCACGTAGGGGTCAAAGTTTATAGTAGAGGTTGTAGCTGTAGGAGTCCTGAAGGGTCAAGGTCGTAGTTGCTAC